TATATGAATGGCAATGGCTGATTGTAAGGATGATTAGAATCAGCTATCCGGTGGAGTTGATTGAGCCGTGATTGGTGATGTACCAGGATGTGTTTCCATAATACGCCCCCGCAAGATGGTAGAGCCATCAGCTATACCAATCTTGGAGCGCAGCAAGGCAAATCTGGAAGAGGAAAGTGGTTTAGTCAACCCATCAGCAAGTTGATCAGCAGAGGCAATGTGAGAGACACGAAGAATTTGCTTATCCACAAGGTCACGAATGAAATGAAGATCAATGGCTATGTGCTTCATACGAGAGTGCATGACTGGATTACTGCTAAGATAGGTGGCACCAACATTATCACAATAAAGCACTGGTGGGGCATCAACTCGAATCCCAAGTTCAGTCAACAAATGCACTACCCATACTAACTCAGAAGAAGCTGCTGCGAGAGCTCGATACTCTGCCTCGGTGGAACTACGGGCAACGGCTTTTTGCTTGCTAGCCTTCCAAGAGATAGGGGTAGCACCAAGGAAGACAATGTAGCCAGTAGTAGAGACCCGAGTGTCCTGATCACCTGCCCAATCGGAGTCACTGAAAGCATGGAGAGCAAGTGTAGAAGTTGGCCGTATCAGTAGCCCATGGAACATGGTGTTCTTGAGGTATCGGAGTATGTGTTTGACTGCTTGCCAGTGCATCTCAGTTGGACAGTGCATATACTGAGATAATTTATTAATAGCAAAAGAGATATCCGGACGAGTTAAAGACAGGTACTGCAAAGAGCCAACGAGTTGCCGATAAGCTGTGCCATCAGGGAGTCGTGGAGAGCTGGTTGACAAAGACAACCCGGAGGTGGGCATAGGCGTGGCAACCGGTTTGGCACCATCCATTTTGTGCTTCTGCAGGAGATCATTAATGTATCTATGTTGAGAAAGAAATAAACCAGCAGAGGTTTTAGTGGCTTCTACGCCCAAGAACAAACTGAGGTCACCAAGGTCCTTCAAAGAGAACTTCTGCCCCAACCTGTGAATCAACTCGGAGATAAAAGTAGCACTATTCCCAGTAAGCAGGATATCATCAACATAGACCAGTACATAAACAACAATGCCAGCATTATTATAGATGAATAAAGAGCAATCAGAGCGAGAATTAACCAGACCACAGCCAAGGAGGAACTGTTTCAATTCAGTGTACCAAGCCCGCGGAGCCTGCTTAAGGCCGTATAGTGCTTTCTTCAATTTACAGACATGATGAGGAAGATTGTGGTCAATAAAACCCGCCGGTTGAGCCATGTACAGGTCCTCCTCAATCTTGCCATGGAGAAATGCGTTGTTCACATCGAGTTGCCGGATTGACCAAGCTTGGCTGACAGCAATGGTAAGCACAGTACGAATTGTGGTTGGTTTGATGACCGGACTGAAGGTGTTGGAGTAGTCATGGCCAGGACGTTGATGAAATCCTTTTGCCACCAACCGAGCCTTATAGCGCTCAATATCTCCATTTTTGCCTCTTTTTAATCTGAAGACCCATTTGCAACCAATAACATTTTGGGTTGGAGATGGCGGAACTAAATCCCAAGTGCCTTGCCGAACCAGAGCATCAAATTCCTCCGACATAGCCCTTCGCCAATGGGGATGGCACACGGCTTGGCTCACACATGAGGGCTCAACCGGGACTGGGAGGGGGTGTTTGGTGGCAAGGTGCATCTGTTTGGGTTTAAAGATGTTGTTTAAGGACCGGGTGATCATTGGGTGAGTGCGGTGGGTGATGGGCGGTGGTGGGAGAGGGGAGGACGGGGCTGACCCAGGGGAAGCAGGTGCGGGGGTTGGTGATGCTGGACTCGGTGGCACAGAGGAAGGAACAGGGGACGGGTTGGGAGGGGGCAGGGTGGTGATAGGGAGAACAAGAGAATTACCTGAGCAGGGGGAAGACCGAGCTGGATCTGGACTGCAAGCAGAGGGGGGCGAGCCGTCCTGCAGAGGAGGGATGGCAAGATCCGGCAGAGGAGAGGCGAGAGCAACAGCAGAGGGCATGGAGGCATGCAAGGGTGGGCAGAGATCACTGGAGAGAGCCGGGATTGATGCCGGTGATGAGGAGGCTGAGGGGATGGGTGGCCGAGGATGAGAGAAAGAGGAAAGAATCGAGATTGGAGGTTGGGTAGGATCGGGAGTAGTTGGAGATGGGAGGGTAGATTTGTCATTGGAGACTCGAAAGGGAAAGTAATCCTCATGAAAAATAACATGTCTGGAAATAAAGATTTTATGAGATTGGGGATCAAAACACTTATAACCTAAATGATCAACAGAATACCCAA